AAGTCGAAAAAAGGGACTTAGCCGTGTGAATGTGTCCAGGCTTAATTCGATTTAACGCTGCTAAATTCGACCTAAACTCGTAGTGTAGACCAGGCCTAAGTCAGAGCAGAACTGACCCATTTTGTCTGCTATATTGCCCATATTCTAGAGGATGTGGCAAGCAGTAAGTCATGGCATTGTTGTGGGTAGCTCACTAAAGGGAAGAGTTCCAGGAAATGTGAGAATACACTTGTCTGTACCTTCATATTCATTGCGATTACGCCAAGCTCAAACGTATTTTCCTTCCTTACTTGCTGGAGTATATCCTGAAGGACAGTCCGGAATGCATCCATAGGAGACAAACCCTTGGGGGTGGTGGTGGTGGTGGGGATATTGGAGTTAGGCAGTTTGTCTAACAGACATTTCTATTAAAATTAAAAAAAAAATTAATTATCCACCCCAAATGTTACTGAGCTAATAACTTAGAAGACACACCACTGGAGAATAAGAATTGTTGCACTTTGGCCTTTATTGTAACTAGGCACACATGAAAAGTCACCCAGTACTTTAGACTCCCTCTTACAACTGGGCATAATTCTGAATGTGCAGATAGAATGCAGCCTTAGGGTCTGAGCGGCCAGCAGTTCCATGCAGACAGCCCCGGGGCCCAGGCCTATCCTCACTGGTTTCAATGGGGTTCTGCCCATCCAGAGTTCATTGCAGGATCAGGTGTTTCACTCTGAATGTCTTTGCTTTTAACCAGTTTATTAGATAACATTATTTTAACAGCTTAGTTTTAGCTAACTTTTGTAATTAGTAAAAGTATGAACCTGAACTCTCCCATTGACAACAGAACAGCCCTTGCACCAATATCTAAACAAATGCATTTAATGTACACTGGAAGTGGTAATGGGCACTTCTACTGACACAGTGACAGCCTGCTTGACTTTCCTTCACATTATAACAGCACCTGTACTGACAGCATAACAGCTTGGAGGAATGTTAGTGTATGAGGGATTTCCAGTGTAAAACAAAGCAGAAATTGTCATGTACCAAAACTAGGAATTATAATGGTTCCATTTCACTTTTATCACATATAAGGAGTAAGTAATACTGGCGCCTAGGCATTGCAGTTTAGACAGGCTCCATCCTCCATCTGAGTCCTTTCTAGCCTAGACTCACAGACTTTAAGGCCAGATGGGACCATCATGATCATTTAGTCTGACCTCCTGCACATTGCAGGCCACAGAACCTCACCCACCCACTCCTGTAGTAGGCCCATAACCTCTAGCTGAGTTACTGAAGTTCTCAGATCTTGATTTCAGGACTTCAAGTTACAAAGAATCCACCATTTACTCTAGTTCAAACCAGCGAGTGACCCATGCCCCATGCTGCAGAAGAAGGTGAAAACCCACCAGGATCTCTGCCAATCTGACCTGGAGGAAAATTCCTTCCCAACCCCACATATGGCAATCATTTAGACCCTGAGCATGTGGGCAAGACTCACCAGCCAGACACCCGGGAAAGAACTCTCTATAGAACTCAGAGCCCTCTAGTGTCCCATTTCTGGCAGTTGGACATACCTGCTTTACCATTACTTTGTGTGATATAGTTCATGGAGAATTGTTAAGTACCTGATTATCTGCATATAGTCACCCACCCTTCCAGGATATTTAAAGGGAACTCCAGAGGTATGTACACCTATTAATAGTAGTAACAAATATAATTTTATTAGAAGTAGTTCCTTTCCCCTATTTGATGTTTATTTCTGAGAAAAAAAAATATTGAATCTCTAACAATGGAAAGAGAACAGATGCCGTAGCTGGTATAGTTCTGTTTGTTATCCGAGTTACAATTTTTTTTCCCTAAGAGAGACAAGGTGGGTGAAATAATATCTTTTATTGGATCAACTTATATTGGTGATAGAGACAAGCTTTTGAGCCACATAGAGGTCTTCTTCAGGTCTGGGAAAGGTACTCCCTGCGTCACAGCAAAACACAAGTGGAATAGATTGTTTAGCATAAGTAGTTAGCACATATTATAAAGGACCATTCAAGGTAGAGTGGCCTGCTAACACCAACAGAAGTTGGTCCAATAAAAGAGACAAGTTGGGTGAAGTAGTCTCTCTAATATCCTGGGACTGACATGGCTACAATTACACTGCATGCTATTCTTCCCCCTACACATACAAAATAAGAAAACTAAACAGAACACTTCATCTTCACTGTTAGTTTTGCTGTATTCGTGGATTTTTAAAATCAGAGTATTATCCAAAAGCGAAAAAAGTTACAGCAAGGTGGTCCCATCAGGGCCGGTGTAACTACTAGGCGAACTAGGCATCCGCCTAGGGCGCCAAGATTTGGGGGCGCCAAAAAGCGGTGCCCCAAATTTTTTTTTTACACTACAGTGGAGTCACATCTTACGCGAGGGTTAGGTTCTAAGGTCAGCGCGTAAGAGGAAAATCACATATAGTGAAAATTACCATAAAGTACAATACACACAATATACACTAGAATAGGGGTCCTCAACCTACGGCATGCGTGCCAAAGGTGCCACGCGAGCCGATTTTTTTTTAATGGCAGGCTGCGGGTCCCGTGCGCCGCTCAGCCCGCTGCCGGTCTGGGGTTCCGTCCGCCGGCTCCTGCCAGCCAGGGCCCTGTCCGCCAGCCCGCTCAGCCCGCTGCCGGCTGAGTGAATGGAACCCCAGGCCGGCAGCGGGCCATTAAAAAAAAAATCGGCTCCTGGAGCACCTCAAGCACGCGGGCTGTAGGGTGAGGACCCCTGTTCTAGTGTATGCAGTGTATACTGTCACTTTATGGTAATTTTCACTATACACGATTTTCCTCTTACACGCTGACCTTAGAACCTAACCCTCGCGTAAGATGTGACTCCACTGTAGTGTAAAAAAAAAAATTGGGTCACCGCTTTTTGGCGCCCCCAAATCTTGGCACCCTAGGCGGATGCCTAGTTCGCCTAGTAGTTACAC